GCGAACCTGAAGGCTGGCAGTTCAGACCCACCCAGCAGCTCCACAGGAGAAAGACCTGGTAATGTGCTCCCATAAAAATTACAGCCTAGAAAACCCTGTGGGGCAGTTCTACCCTGTCACAGGAGGTCACTATGAGTCGAAAATCAACGCAACAGCGCCCAACAGCAGTAACAACAAGCTAATTCTACTGTACTACTCAGCCATGTTAAAGACGAAAAAGGCTTAAGAAGGAAGACATTTAAAGTTTAAAGACTAACAGCAAAATCAGAGTTCCAGTATTCAACTCACAAATTGATGATACTGTAACCCTTCCTGGCCTCCATTATAAAGGACACTCGAATTCTGGTTATTTCTGAATTCTGTCTCTACCTCAATTTTGGATCCTTGTAAAGCCTTCTTGTTTTCCACAAAGGTGGGCTCTAGTAGGCCTGAAAGTGATTCCCAAGAATTAACATGATTATGCATGGCTCCTAACTGTGATGGCTTCTCTTTCTAACTAGGGCTAATCTGCCAGGCAAAATTAAAAGTTTACTGTACTATACACAAGTATACCATAGAAAGGGAAATAAAAACAGCTAATAAAAATTAAAAGAGGCTCAACTTCATTCATAATTAAAGAAATGTTCATTAAAATATTAGCATATTTTTATCTATCAGACGAACAAAAATTTTTTAATTTCCTAAAATGGTGTAGGGAAATAGGTACTCTCATACAGGGCAGGAAATATGCATACCCAATGACCTACGTATTTATACAAAGGAAATTTCACACAAGTGCATAGATTTATGTACAAGGATATTCAACACAGCACTGTTTGTAACAGAAAAAAAAATTGGAAAAACTCCAAAACGTCCATCAAGATGGACTGGTTAAATAAATTATGATACACCTGCAATATTATGCTAAATATCTGCTAAGAATGAGTAGATCTAAATATAGTAATATGGAGAAATGCTCAAAATATTTAAACGTGGGAAAAGAGTTGAACATCATGATGCCACTTTTGTTTCGATACATACCCCATATTTAACCGAACCTAAGATGCTACAGATTTAAGACACAGCCTCGTTCTACGTGCCACAGAGAAAGAAAACACACTGCCAATTAAACCACGGCACAGCCTTGATTATAAGACACCCAATTTCAGAGATATAAAATGTAGGGGAAAAAATGCTCATCTTTACAATCAATGAAATACGGTATAAAACATAAACACAGACACTTGTAAAAAAAATTTTAAAAAGCACACACAGAGAAAATAAATTTAGAAAACTATACGATACCATCAATAATGGTTACTTATCTATGGGAAGTGGGAATGATTTTTCATACTTCACGTTATATTCAAACCTTCAACAAGTATATTTATTTTATCAGGCACTGATCTAGGTGCAAGAAAAATAATAATACAAGCAATGTTCTTGCTCTTCAAAGTTTACATCCTAGTTGAGGAGGGAGGGGGAAATGAAACAAAATCAAGAACCACGTAGTAATTAAAGCTGATTAAAAAGAAAAAAAACAAGTTATTTAAAAAAGACCAAGTAGCTACTCAGACGAGATGGTTAGGGAAGGCCTTCCTAAAGTGGTGTCATTTCAGCTGACAAGAAGGAACCAGACATGCAAAGACATGAGGAGGGAGAATATTCCAAAAAAAAGGAATAACTGCAAAGGCCCTAAGGCCTGAAAGAATTTGGCACTTTTAGATAACTAAAAGTATCTATTTATCCTTATCTGAATAAACTGATTCTACACATTTGGACATACACTCTTATTAATCAGTTCATATACAATGCAAATAATTTTCCTATTATTGCTACTACTGGAATACCACCATAAATATGCAAAACGTTTTTCCCATTTATTAACTTCTGATTTTAACTGACTCAACCTCCTGTGAAGCAACTAGAGAAGTTTTTACTACTGCCCAGAGATGAATCTAGTAAATATATGCTGAAACGTGAGCTGAAGGAGAAACTAAGGCACAGAAAGATTCAATAACGTAAGAGGCAAAACTTGGCCTGTAATTAACTCTGCTCACTGGGAGTCTGTTCCAGGCACTGTGCTGAGAACTTTGGAGGCATTACCATATTTCCTGCTCACAGCAACTTACAGTACATGCACTATTAGCTCCATTTTATGGCTGAGTAAACAGACACAAAGAGGTTAAGTAACTCGCCCAAGGCTGTCTCAGAGACGATAGTAGCAGAACTGGGACTCAAATCTGTGATTTCTCTTCAGCTGTTACCACTATAATATGGTGCTCTAACTATATATTAAAGTACTCTAATTCTCTTAAGACCACACTGACTGTACAAGAACTCTAAGAAAGCTATCACTAACCTCTGAACCTCCACTGCAAATTCCAAAAATACTGAAGATAGATTAAGGGAATATGAACTTGAGCAAATCCTCTGAAAGCATATATCATCATGATTTACCTAGCTGTTCTCCTAATAATAAATGTTTCAGTATTCAAATTTTGCAATATAGTAAGTCTGAATCTTTGCTTATAAATCTTCCCACATTTGAACAGTATGCAAATTAAGAGAGGTCTGAGGCATTAGTAATTGGTATTTGGCTACAGCAAATACCTTTCAAAGTTTGACAGCTGATTTAGGAAATAATAAGAATCATTTATTCCCTCTCCTTGAGCACAGAGAATGTGACCTAGCTGGAGCTGGGCTCACAAGGACTCACAAGGAC